AGTCCATCAACCCTAAACCCCCAAACACCTGAACCCTAAGCCCAGAAACCCTAAACTCCAAAGCCAGAGGCCCTGCTCCCGCCAGGCAGCAAGTCGTGAGCTGGGCCTCCGATCTCCGCTCCGCCGCTGGGAGCTGCTCCTAAAAGAGGGTTTTGGGGTTTAGGGTTTAGAGTTAATCATCAGAATAAGGCTTTGGGGTATAGTATACTATAAGTATAGCAAGGAACCCCCGAGATAGTATTGGTACTTATTTATTCGGGCCCCTATTTTATTTGGATTTGTGCAAAACCTGGGGCCCCTTTTTGGGCTCCCAAACTGTTAAGACTAGAATTGTATAGGGTTCCGCTACCCATCTGAGCTTGTTGGAGGGTTGGGGGTGTTTGGGTATAGGGTCTAGCCGTTTAGGGCTTAGGGTTTTACGGTTTTACGGTTTAGGGGCTTAGGGGTTCAGAATTGGACGTTCAGCTTCGGGAGATGAGAGCTCCGGTTTCAAGACGCAGGTTTAAATTCCTGGCGTGTGGGGGTAGATGTTGCTGCTACCCCATTCTCCAGGCGCCCTAGTGGTGACGAGCCGCCACGAGCCTGCCAGTATGCCTTGTGATTCAAACATCTACGAAACCTTATGCGCCAAACGGCCTTCAGAAGTTAACGAACCAGAATTGTCCAAAGCCGAAGCCTAAGCTCAACACCCACAGCCCAAAAACCAAAGGCACTAAACCCGAATCTCCAACCCCCAAACCGTTAATTCCTGAAACTGATATACAAAGCCTTAAGGTATCATCGTAACCCTTACAAACACTTGCACGGCCCTAAACCCCCAGCCTTAAACCATCATGACCCTCCAGAAACCGCAGCCCTCTAACAATCCCCTAGAGCCGATACACCCTGAGCCTCGGACCTGTACCCCACAACCAAAACTCTTCCTAAACTGGACCACCAGAAGCTGCGTGGGAGTTTAGAGCCCCAAGCCTTAAACCCTACCCCCTAGACCCCTAAACCCCTAAACCCCTAGACCCCTATAAACCCCTAGCCTAGACCCCTAAACCCCGAGACCCTATAAACCCCTAAACCCCCAAACCCCTAAAATAAAGGTGCTGAGGGTCCTTGAGCAGCTTCTCCCGCCGCGGGCTGCGGGGCACCAAGGCCTCGACAGCCTCGTGCCCTGGGCTCAGCATCAAAAGGACGTAGGATTTAGGGTTTAGGTTTAGGGTCAAGAAGAACGAGAAGAAGAATCAGAGGATCCCGTTTAACAACAAGAACGATGTGGATAGCAATAAGAATAATAATAACACTGACAACAACAACAACAATAACAATGACAAAGACAGTAGTCAAAGCAATAAAAGCAGAATTAGTAGCCATCTTGGCAGCAATAGTCAAACTAAAACCATGATGTAAGAATGATAGTGACAAGAATCATAAGAATAATATTTTAGAAGAACAGTAATGATAGTAGTAATAATCACTCTGATGATAAGAACAGTAATACTAGTAGTTGCAATAATAATCATAATGGCAACACTCCTAGTAAGAAGGACAATAGCAAGAACAACAGCAACAGTAGAAAGGCTGAGGAGAGAGGATTTGGGGAAAAAGGACTCGGTCGGGGAACTTGGGAGCTAGTATTGCTTCATGGGTCCTATGATAGGGGTTCTATATTGAGGGCATTGTGAGGACTTGAAAGCGTATACTTAGAAGGATCCTGGGGCTTAGGAAGTATAATAAGGACTCCATAAAGCTTTTTGCCAAAACAGTCAGAAGGATCATGGGAGGTTTACAAACAAGGCAGGTAACCAGAATGATAAGATTTACCTGTAACACGAGTTATACAAAATGAATTATAACCTTACTTACTAAGTCCCCTCATCCTACTACTTCCAGCTCGGTACAGATGCAGATCAGGGACGTCTCCCCTTCTGATTCTGACGCATTCGACAAGCAGCGGTTGAACAAGCCCCTGACAACTACGATGCCGAAAGCAAGTTGAGTGTGTTATGGGTGTCTCACATCTTCTTCGGCACAGATCAGCCAACTTCAGCAGTAAGCAAGGGCTGGAGGTTAGAACACTTCAGGCCATGGGCCCTGGCTGTTGTGGTTCAGCATTTTGTTTAAAAGTGTCGCATTTTGGGCTTTAGGTCCGGGTTCAGCTTCATGGGACGGATGTCAGTATCGGGCCCCCCGGGCCGAATGCGTCTCTTCTCGTGGTACTTCCCGTTGTCGCCGCATGTTTCGAGCCGCCGGCGGAAGCTTCCCAAAGCAGAACACAGCGGCGAGCTCCACCCGAAGCTCTGTAGCGAGGGGTATCCTAAACCCTAAACTTCCTAAACCCTGAACTAGTTCCTCAAGCACCAAACATCCCTAAACCCTAAACATAAGCCCTGACCCCGAAACATCCCCAAACCCTGAAGACCTAGACCTGAAACCCCAAGCCGACCCCCAAGCTGCCGAGAGTTTTGGCATTTGGAGCATCCCGACACAAAATGCCAGACTCTCCTGGCTCCTACCCTGAACCCTACACCCTACACCCTAAGCCCCTTCTAGCCGGGCTCGGGGCTGCCCGAGTTTGATGAACATCATGATGATGATGATGATGAGGATGATGATGATGATGAACATGTGGGTAGTTCTCTAAATTAGGGTCCCTGTTAGGAAACAGTGTAATCGGGTGCCGTGCTATATTCGGGGACCTAAAACGGGATCCTAATTTGGAGAAATACCCATAGGGCTACCATGATGTTGGTGAGTATTTTGGGCACTGTGACGATTACGAGTATTCTGATTATGATGAATACTACAACTGTCGACATAAGTTTCTTTGTGATGCTGATTGTTGTCATGACTATATAGGTCATGATTCTTATTCGGATTGAACCCTATCAGTATACATACATATATTGCTATGATTTACGGTATGATTCTTCATTATGCTCATGCCTGCTGTTTATTGTTGTTCACTCCCACTGGCAGCGCGGCTCGCTATTCGAGATCTAAACCCTAAACCCTAAACCCTAAGCGGCCTGTTTCGAGATCTTGGTCTGGGGCAGGTCGGAGAACCTCAGAAGCTCGCAGGCTCAGGGGTTCAGGGATTCAGGGATTCGGGGGTTTAGGGGTTTAGGGTTTAGGGAAGTGGGTGAAGCACCGGGTTGTGTCCTAGGGGTGCAGGTGTCTCGTAGCCGGCTGCCCAGAGGTCTCGCTGCCTGGACACCCTATTCTAATTATTGAGGCCCCTTTAGTACACGCTTATAGTATTCCTGATAGTAACCCTTATAATATTCCTCATGGCAGCCATTGTAGTATTAACTTATGATATTCCTTATAGCAACCCTTAATATTCCGTGTACTAAAATTTAGTATAAGGACCTGCATACATCAGTTCTGCACAACGAAGGGTTTCTTCTTCGGGACGCGCCAACGAGATCCCGATCTTACACTCCCCTCTCCTGACTCTGTTGAGTTTATCCACCCAAGCCGACAGCATGGCCACCCCTCTTGCGCATGATACATACTCAAAACTCTTTGTAACCCGCCCTTACAACGAAAAGCCTGTTGAATAACATACAACAAGTAAACCTGTTCCGGGATGATGACGCCGGCCTATCCGCTTGGGGCCAGTCCGTTTACGCAAGCAACCCTTCAAAGAAACGTTCGGCGATAAACGGCCTAACACTGTGCCAAGCGCTCTTGACCAACTGTATTGGTTTGGCTCGCACGCCTTGTGCCTTGTGTCCGCAGTCATTCAACCACCCCAGCCCCCCTGTCAAAAAGCTCAGTCGCTAGTTGCCTCAGGAACTAGAGTAAGCTGTGGGCTGTGGGTCTAGATTTGTCGAATCCTTCTAGGTTACTGCTGATGATTTCGGTGGAGAAGGACATGCTACACAGCCTCAACCCGGAGTGCCAGAGCGTCTATGCACAACCCAGAAGCCAAGAAAGAGAGCCTGGACCTGGCCATCTATCACACCATCAGAACCCTTATTTCTTCACACTCCGGTCTAAGCACATGATCCCGAAGACGATTGCCGCAAAACCCTCAACAAGCCGATGACCTAGAGAGCCCCTTAGCAAGGGAAGCGGCCCGGCTGGGCGGCGCGAAACTGAAAGAGGTGCGTGCCGCCATGGGCGATGCGTGGCAAACGAGTTGGGGGGGCGATTGGATGGTCATGTAGGGGTCTTATAAGAATGGGTAACTGTTGTAATAGGGACTGCAAGGCTGTAACACTTGGGGCGTTGGGGCTTGGTGCTGTCGGGCCTGGGGCAAGCCCGGGCGCAGTCGCTGGGGAGTCCTATACTGCTCGCAACACACACGAATCCTAAGCCCTAAACCCTAAGCCTTAAACCTTAACCCTAACACAAAAGCTCTCCGGTTTAGGGTCTCGGGCTTAGAGGGCTTAGGGTTTAGGAGGCTTTCTGAGTGGGCCACGCACATGCCAAGCCTTCTACCATCTTGCTTAAGCCCCAAGTAGCCCACCACTATCTCTGGTCTTCAGTGTCGTTCCGTTTTCATATTGTAAACATATGCATTGAGGACCCTATAGTAACTACGATGGAGCCAAAAGTCTGAGGTCCCTGCGAGCGGATCCTCTGGACTGCTCTCAAGGCATTTACTCTCTCTCAACATCTCTGGCAGGGTACGACCGTCATGTGCCCGCCCAGCCTGGCGTAATTCCGATTTGGAGCTTTTTGTCGACTCTGCAGTGTTGGAGCTGCACAATTTGCCATGGGAACTCCACCCCGCAAACGGCACATTGCCCTTGCCGAAGCCATGACGGGACGGTTCTTCAGTATTGGTGAAAAGGTCTTGTCCCAGATGATGCTGGCGCCCAGCACCTCCACCTAAATTGGCGAGCAAGTGCTCGGATGTGTGGCAGGAAAGCTGCGCCGGCTCAATGAGATCCGAGAGAGATCGCTTCAACAGGATGCTCTGGTGCGGTTGAACAGCTGCCGCGGAAGGCGCGTGAAGTTCGGGGACGGACGACCGCTCCACTCCAAAGCCTGAGGCATGATCATACCCCAAGTGCTCTGCTCTCTCTGCTTTCGGAGATCAGTTGAATGGCCTTCGGCGGCAAATACTGCGATATGGCCGGCACGGCTCGACGCACTTCTGGCACCGTGTCCGCCAAGCACGTAGCTGCCCAGAGGCTGTTGATCAACTCCTGTTCCTTCATCTCACTTGCAAGTTGCGCGATGTTCTCAGCCACGGCCCTCACTGGCACCAGAACTTCCGGAACTCTCTGTTGCATCCGCGCGGCCGCCCAGAGGCAGTTGCTCAGCTCCTGCGGCCTCATCTTCCCAGCTGCAGCAGCTGCACGGGAGGCCAAGGGAGGCACAGCCTCCCGGATGGCGCGTCGTACGCTTGCAGCGCTCGTGGTGTTGGGAAGGGCATCCTGGAGCTCCGCACAGGCCCAGAGACAGTTGGCCAGTGCCTAACAGATCAGCTTGGCTGACAGATCAGCTTGGCATCAATGTACCATATAAGCCTACGAATAAATTATAGTGGAATTATTTCTGTCTTGTTCCTGACACCTCAACTCAAGCTTGGGAGCTTCTTCGCAACAGCCTCGACACGTCCACCACAACAAAACCCGAAAGGCCTGAGTGCTCTATCCCTAGACCGTAAACCCTACACCCTGGACCCTAAGACCCTAAACCCTAAGACCCTCCACCCTAAGACCCTCCACCCTAAACCCTAAACCCTAAGACCTTTTGCCATGCAGCCCAGGATCCTCCGACTCAAAGAAGCCCGAGGCTTCCGGAAAACCCTCAAATCCCCGAAACTTCTGATCCCCGTGGGGTTTGGGTTAAGGATTAAGGGTTGAGGGTTTAGGTGTTGAGGGTTTAGGGTTCAGGGGAATGCGCATTACAGTTCCTCCTTTGGGTTACCTTGTAAGATTCGAAATATCAAATTGGATAAACCAAGAATGGAACTACAATGGAGACTCTCTAGGCGGTCTACCAGTGTGGAAAGCTAATTGCCGCCAAGTGCAAGCCTAGATGGCAGGATCCTGATATTCATAAGTGCCCCCATATGATTACCACTTTGAAACCTTAAACTTGACCCCTAAAACTTGGGTACCGTAACAGTCTATAACAGGGCTACTACTAACGGCCTTTTTTTTATCTGTATTACTTTTTTGTCAACGGTTGCTGAGTGGGGGCAGTGCCCAATCTCCCAATCTAAAGCCCTCAAGGCAAAGATCCGGAACCTGCAGATGTGCAGAGAACCTCCCGTGTCGAATGCCTGGGGGATCATTCTGCCGGGCTTTTGTGCAAGGCGGTTGGCCAGGGCCACCAAAGCTCGGTGGGCCTTCGCCGTGGAGGCTGACTCCTGAGGCTCAGGGTCTACATGGGTAGTTCTCTAAATTAGGGACCCCTTTAGGGACCTGAAATAAGGGTGCCGTACTTCTTTTGGGGGGAACCCTAACTGAAGAGAACTACGTACCCGTATGTCAATCAGAAGATCTAAAGCAGGATCGGCTTAAGGTGGGAAAAGGGGCCTGGGTTGAGCGCGCATACATAATGCTGTACGAAACAAAACACAACAACACCGCGCGGCATACCTGCGTAGTCTAGAAGTCTCTATAAGTGCCAGTATCTTAACTAGGGTTCCTAAACATAACTATTAACCCGATTCCTCATTTTGAATCCCGTCTATCGAGCTTCAAGTTTAGGCCGAAGGGGCTTGTACGGCCATGATGAAATGCTCAAGCTTCACGGGTTTGGGTCTCAGGGCTGATACCTATGTGCCCTGAAACTGAAGCCCTGAACCCTAAACCCTAGACCCTGAGGCCGACTCCCTAAACGTGCGCAATGAAGCTTCGAGGTCTCCTTCAGCTGCGACAAAGACCAGATGCTGTTCGTCAGCTCTTGAGGATTCATGGAGCTCCTCGAAACCCCTTAGGGTTTGGGGTTTAGGGTTTAGGGGAACCTGAAAGGAACCTTGAAAGGAACCCCTTAAAAAAAACCACAAAAACCCTTAAAGGAACCTCTACGGAAACGTTTAAAAGGAGCTACTCAGAGAGGAACCCCGCGACGAAGCCCCTTCGAAACTGTGAAGCAGCGCTCGGTGACTAGGATTTAGGAGTTGGCGCTTTGGGGGTTTAGGGTTTCGGGTTTGGGGTTTCGTGTTCGGGTTTGGGGTTTCCGGCATAAGGATTGAGGTTGGGCTTCACGGTTGAAGTTTGGGGCTTAGGGTTTCGGGATTATGATTGGGAAGTGGAATGTAACAAAACCCAACGGCCTGACTCTGAGCTCCAACATTCTGCGCAGGTATCGCCTTCACCCCTGCGCCCTGAATGAAAAATTGAACCTTACTTTCTTAAGTAAGTCATGCGTGATATATTGCCATGGGCCCGCAAAATGCTCAACCTGCACACTTCATAGTCAAATCTCCCCTCGCAAACGTGAGATGCTTCAATCCCGAACCAAAAAAAAACCAAAGAGCCACGCCCCTCGGCCCTTACCAACCGTCGGACATGACGGCTCTTAACTCTAAGCCCCGAATAGGTCTGCCCTGAACTTCAAGCCAAAGCACACGGTGCGGCGCAATTGGCCCACCACGGCTTCCTTGATCATGGCTGAGATAGTAGTATTAATCTAAACTTCTATTCCTTATTAGGTGTAAGTATCCATAAAAATGTACAGACAACCAAGACCCTAAACCGACAAAGCTTCGGCAGCGGAGCAAAGCTGCTCCGCCGGGGCGTCGCTGCGCAGCTGAACCAGGGACCAGAGGTTGTTGGATACGTCCTGGGCCTTCCTCGGTCCGCAGTCAGTGAGGATTTGGCATTTTAGGGTTTAGGGTTTGGGGTTTCGATCAACGGGGCTCAGATGCCTTCAGGGCCGAGGAAGCGGTGGCCATGATTTGCGAAGCTTCCGTCTCTGAGAGGTACCCTAAACCCTACATGACAAACCACCAGGTAGCAGCCACCGATCCAACCCGAACTAAGAACCTTTCTTCCGGTGGCCCCGACAGCTGCATCCGCAGCGCATTCTGTTTTCTCCGAACCGAAAGCGTTCGGTCGAGCTCGGTATATCGCCTTCACGGTGAGAGCTTCGTTTGACACTGGTTCCGAAAAGCCTCAAAGTTTTACACTGGTTCCCGCATCTGCCTCGAGACTTCTTCAGAGCAGCCTAAACGAGCCATAAATCTCATGTCACCCGTGATCCGCATTCGTAGGCTTAGTCAACACATCAGCAAGCTGAAATCCAGTAGATACCCAGAAGAGTGGTGGTCTGTCATTGACCTTTTCAAGGTCAAACTTCTGCCTCAGGGCAGAGAGATCGCTGGCCAAGCGCTTGTCGCTGGGTATCTTACCCCTTCTTTGTGCAAGTGATCATACAGGCTTTTGCAATCGGTGATGCATTTCATTCGTGCTCCTGCCAGTGATGATGGTCTGAACGTAGGACCGGATGTACTGTCCGGTTTCGACTGCTTCAGTGCAGCCAGCCGTTTCAACGCGATCTGCATACGCGCTGACTCGCGCACGACTCCCGATCAAGCACGCTGCAGACACCTCCTCTCTTGCGGCGGCGCTCGGCATCGGTGAGCACGACTAAAACGCCTAATTGACTACCTACACAGGAGTTCGCTCTCTTCTTCGCCTTCCTCTCTTTCCAGTCGTATGGGATTCCAAGTCATGTTTCCAAGCTCATGGTCAGCTTGGGAAAGTCTGAAGCCTTCTACACCAGACAGCGTCGCGTTTGCCCAAGCAGCGTCGTGGAACACTAGAAACTCGAGCTGGCTGTGCTCGAGAGGTCTCAACCAAATCCACTGATCCCTGTAATCCCAAGCCGTTCTCGCGATCTGATTTGTAAACCGAAGATCACAAACACTTGGACTCGACTGTAGCTGCTAGGCCATAGATACACAGCATTGGAGATCGGGCCTGGAATGGGAGCTCAACCAGCTGAGGTATGCATAGTTCTTCCACTACAGGATCCTCGTTTTTCTGGTCAGAGCTGATCGGAACTTCAACCAAAAGGCTGCTGGCACATGCTTCCAGAGAAAAGAAGACACCCTGGTCGTCGACTTTGATGTGGGATCCCAAATAATCGAAATCATCTATCAACCACTCCCCGGCAGGAAAGTTGTTTGAGAGGGCTTCCCGGATCATTTGGCTGAACACTGGTCGTCCCACAACCAACAAGCCGCTGCCCTCAGCATCGACAGTAGGAACCGACCCCGTCTCACCGAAGCGATGCGTGTTCGACTTGTCAGTCTCTGCAGCCGATGCCCGCGCGGCCGACGTGTTCTCATCTGCAGTGCTGGCGGATGCCTGACGGCGAAAATTTTGGCCGGCATCTTCCGAATCCTGGGAGCCTGCCGGTTCTTGAGCTCTCGCTGAGCTCTCCGACGCAATAGATCCAGCATCTGCAGACGTGTCCGAGCTTTGCTTCTTGGTAGTGGTGCCAAAGTGGCCTGTGCCGCTGCTTTCATCCACCCAAGTGCCCCATGAGCCGGGAGAATCCAGCAACGATGCCCGTAATCTCCAGTTCTCCTATGAGACCACCACCCATAGCGATCCCACGACGACTGTCCCCAGACAGCTGCATCCCAAGAGCACTCTGTTTTCTCCGAACCGAAAGCCTTAGGTCGAGCTCGGTAGATCGCCTTCGCGGTGAGAGCTTCGTTTGCCCTAAACCCTTACACCCAAAACCCTAAACCTTAAACCCTAAACCTCGTTCGTAAACCTTAAACCCTAAACCCCAATAGTTCCCAGAAAACAACCAAGGCTCATCTGCGTGGCCCTTGCCTTCATGCGCCGCAAGAGCAAGGGAACCGTGCGCAGCGTGAGCACCTGTGCACGATCCTAAACCCCTCAACCCCGACCTTAACCACAAAGAGCCTACCGTTTTAAGGACTTATTCAAAAAAACTGTAAAAAGTAACCTAAAAAGGTAGTTTATTTGGGGTCCAGGTCAACCCCCTGAACCCCCGACAACCCCCGAAAAGCCCCTAAATCCCTTCATCCCTGAATCCAAATCCGAAACCCTAAACCCTCGACCCTAAACCCTAGATCCTAAATCCTAAACCCTAAACCCTGAACCCTAAACCCTAAATCCTAAACCCTACATAAAACTGCGCCTGTGGCCGGCTCTCCTTCAGAACCGCCAGGGCCCAAAGGCAGTTGGAAAGCTGGCGGGGCTGCAGCCTGGGCTCTGGTTACGGCTGAAAGAAAGTGTGTAGGGTTTGAGTGCCCTGCCCCCCCTTGGCCCTGCCCTGAATTGCTTTCCTTCCGAGAAAACCACGGCAAGAAAGGATGCTCATGACTCTGCGAGCCAAGCCGTTCATTCAACACACACACACACACCTACCTTCTACTTATCATGTGCTAGAGGGTTTAGGGTTTAGGGTCATTTAATGTAGGTTATCACAATAAAGAAACCATATTATTTACTACTATATATAGATCTCCATTATGGTAGCTTAACTTGAGTTCCTTATCAAGAACCCAGGTTGCTGGTCAGCCGAGAGCAGGCGCTGCAGCTGCAACTCCAACCTCCACGTGAAGGGCTACCGCTAAGGGATCCTTTAAGGGATCCTACTAGGGATCCGTTTACGGGTACTATTAGGGATCCTTTCAAGGGATCCTATCAGGGATCCCTTTAAGGGATGGATCCTCTTAAAGGGTTCCTTTAAAGGGGCTTTAACGGGGTGCTTGAAGGGTACAGAAACGGGGTTAGGATTTAGGGTTCCACAGGGGTAGTATAGGAGCTTCTTTTGGGGGGATGATAGGAAGGTGACTATCAGAGTACTGTGAGTAAGAGTAATGCAAGTATAAAGGGACGTTAAGGGTACTAGAAGGGTACTACAGAGGTTTAGGGTTTAGGCAGCATCGGCGTACTCTAACAGCTACCATAGGGGTACATAGGAGTCCGATAATAGAAGTAATGCTCGGGGCATTATAAGAGTTACGGTAAACGTTACTCTAGGGGTAATAAGGGCATTCGGAAGGCTACTACAAGGGTAATTTGCGCACTCTTGGCTTGGTAGAATCGGTACCGCCTCTGGTGGACCCAGAGACGCCGGTTGCATTCCTCTTGGTAGTGCAGTGTACATCTTTCATTCCCCTGCAAAACACACTGCAGCTGCCAACATCTGCTTAGCTTAGAGTTGTCGCGGTGTGTTGTGGCCGAAATGTCGCTGCGAAGGTACAAATCATGCTTTCACCTCACTTCCCTATATCAATTGGAATAGAGGGTCAAACCACGAGAATGACAATATTTTCACAAGAACCCTCTGGGTTTGGGCGGTTACGTACTCACTATAGTCCCTTTTGGGGCTACCTTTTAGCATCCCTAATGTAAAATTGGTTAAACCAAAAAAAGGAACTACAGTGGAGACCTGAGTTAGGGTCCTTGCACCTCCGCCACACAGGGCTCCGCAGCTCCCGCAGGCCCAGGCTTTTGGAGTTTTTGAGCCGCGCCAGGCGCGAGAGGGCGGCTCCCACATGGAACTCGTTGAAGATTGGGAGGTCCTAACTGTCGGGTTTAGGGTTGGGGGTTTAGGGTTTTGGGTTCTAGGTTCTTAGCCCCTACCCTCTGTGTACCCTTCAACAGGGGGTTTATGACCCCAAATAGTAAGTAGTTCGGGTCTAATAGAGGGTAGACGGAGGCTTTCTGAAAAAAGTTGGGTTCAGTTACCACAGAGGAGAGAGCATAGTGCTCACCACACATCCCTTGTAACAGTGAAGTGAATCCAAGACCAGACAGCAAGTCTACATCCCTCTAAGCACCCTGCCATGCTATCGCAAATCAAGTTCAGGAAAAGCCTTTTCAAGAACCTCCAAACCCAGAAAAATCTTAAACGTCCTTAAAACCTAAACCCCCTAAACCCGAAACCCTGAAGCCCCCAATGCCCTAAACCCTAAACCTCCAAATACCCTTAACCCTAAACCCTACCCTAAACCCTAAAGCCCCAAACACCCTAAACCTCCTAAATTTAAATCCGGGGCCCTACCCTGAACCCGGGTCCGCAACCAGGTCAACCTCCGAGAGCACGGCAGCAGCAGATCTGGCCTCCGACTCTCAAAAAAAGCGAAGAAGCTACTCTGGGGCCTGAGGTTTAGGGCTTTGGGGTTTTAGGGTGTAGGGCTTCGGGAGGGTCTAGGGCTTTAGTTTAGGGTTTTAGGGTTTCGGGTTTTAGGGCTTCAGGTTTGCTGAAAGATCCATCAGTCCAGTTCTTGCAGGACATGGAGAACACCACCACCACTAGCACAGCAACAATCACAACAAGGATCACACTGCTAGCACGTAGCTGCAGGAAAGGCTGCTGAAGGGCCGGAAGGAGGGATTTTCTAGCGGTTTGCGAGGGACTTTGTACTAAGGCTTTTTGAGTTGGGCTGTCCAAGGGTTTTTTGAAGGTCGACTAAATCGTTCTCTTAAGGGTTGCACAAAAACCTTGCATGTGCTGTAAAAAGGGGTTCAGTCAGTTTAAACCCGGAGAAGTCTACCGGGCGAACCCCAAACAGTGAAAGCCTTGAGCCCTTATTCCAAAGCCTCAGACCTTTCAGTAAATCTTCAACCCGGCAGAAGCCGTGTCCGAAATCATCAAAACCCTGCCTTAACCCCGAAAAGCACTAAGGCCGGCCTAAACCCTGAGAAACAAGCCCCTGAACCTAGGCCCTGTGCCGTAAAGCCCCTAAACTTTTTGACGCCGTAGAGTGGTTCAGGGTTTAGGGTGCAAGGTTGTAGCAATCCCTATGGAAGTGCGTTTATGGCATGTAGCCATGCCCCTGTGAAACTCTGCACAACGCGTTAAGTCTACATTGAAACCTCACCGAAAACTAGTAAAACCCTACAGAAGCCTAAACTCTAAACCCTCACCCCAAAACCCTAAATAAATATCTGATAAAGCCGTGGGACCCTATGAAAGCCCCTGCTAGCTAACCAAAAAAAAACCCTAAACCCTGAACCCTGAAGCCTAAACCCTAAACCCTGAACCTCTCTATCATATATGAGTTTAAGTTTTAATGACTTCGTGGTTCAAGGCCAATTCTTGGTGGTTCAAGGCCAATTCTTCGTGGTTATAGGCCAATCGTTCCTGGTTTAAAGCGAATCATCGTTTTTTACCTTAAACCACGATTTTTGGCTTTAAACCTAAGGCCAGGTCGCTCGTGGTTTAAGGCAAAATCGTTCGTGGTTTAAGGCCCATTGTTCGTGGTGGTTCAAGGCCAATTCCTCGTGGTTCAAGGCCAATTCTTCGTGGTTCAAGGCCAATTCGTCAAGGTTTAAGGCCAATCGTTCGTGGTCTAAGGCCAATCGTTCGTGGTTTAAGGCTCGTGGTTTTAGGCCAATCCTTCGTGGTAGTAGTCCGAACCCTAAAATAACAGCCCGAACCTTAGAATGGCCCGAATCCTACAATAGTAGTCCGAACCCGAAAGTGGTAGTCCGAATCCTAAAATGAGAGTCCGAACCTGAAAATTACCAGCGAAGACCCCAAACAGATTGCATCGA